TCAAAGAAAATTACTAAAAAGAAGAAAAAAAGAAAAAACTTTCATGATCGTTACACGCGGCCTTGCCCCCTTCCTTTCTCTCGTCGTTCTCTTTGTCAGATGTTCTATAAAGTACTAAATGGACGAAACAGTTCTGTGGTCTCCAGAGAGACCTCTTTGTAGAAGATAAAAATACATAAAGAAATTAAACGTAACATCAGTAAATAAAAATCTCAGCTAACCTGATAGGTCGGTGGCTCTTTGCAAGCTGGCGCGTGACACGGATGTGGCGCAAGATACTCGACACCGGGTTCCGGCTTCGTCGCGACGTTCACCATGTTGCATTCAGATTGCACTTTTGCCAATAGCCGCTTCTTTTGTGATTGAGAAGAGTACCCCGAGCTACTGTAACACAAACAATGTAAGACAAGACAAAGTTAATCAAGAGATTTATGTACAATAATTTCTAGGAACTGTTTAACAAAATAAAGAAAAATTATTAAATATGTATAAAAATGAATACAATTTTAAGGAGTTAATAACACGGATATGTTAATATCATTATTAAATGCTTACCTATTAACGTGATGTTGTTGTTGAGGCTCATGTTTAATTAGCTGTGTGGTCTGCTGATGTTGCGGATGTTGCGACAGATATAAATGAGCATGCGTGCGGCTTGGACTAGCTTCGCCATCGCTGTCACCAACAGTGACACAGCTAATGACATTCTTGCGTTGCGTTCGATGTGACGACGAGCTGCTATGCGTCGTAACGTGTCCACTCGCGTGCTGCTGACTGCTCGTATGCGTCGATTGTTGTGTCGGTACAACGCGCGGTGGCGATTGAGTGCTGAAAATTCAAGAGAAGAGATTTCTTTATTTAAAATCATCGAGAAAGTTATTGTTACGTGTTTCAACCATTAGCAAGTTAACGCCGCATCCGTGAAAAATCGCATGCTGAAGATATCGATTTACAACGATATTATTTATTAAGTGTGGTTTTGTGTTAGTCGACAGTTGTTTCGCGCCAAGCTCCGCAACCAGATCCCTAAGTAGCCCGTATCTATCCCATGGTATAATCAAGTAACTTACAAGTATTATCATTTGTAAAACAGTAATAGATTTTATAAAATGTTTAGTATATGCTAAGCTTAAATATGTCTTTTATAAAAATGTCCGCAATCTATAAGTTATCTTTTCAAGGTTTTTAAAGGAAAGCATACATTTGATAAAAATTGATTCCGGACGATTTAATAGCAGAGTATCGAAATGGAAGATGGGAGATCAATCTTCCTTATGACATTATATCTGTTAATTGCATGTTCTCAACAAGACTTAATTATCGTTAATCATAACACCGTCCGCTTTAAGGGCATACATCAATATACCTTCGTATGACTTCTTCACGGACAGGACGTCCGTCGCCCGACAGGCGAGTTGCCAAACTTTGACAGGCGCTGCACTGACGGTCTCCACAGCTGTCAACGATACCCATGCGTGATTCTACTACCAACTAATAATGCGCTAACAAATACGCGTGCTTAACCGGAAATTTTTTACAAAAAAATAATCCGTCAATATTTTTGAATATCTATTTTATCTTTCCTTGATTCACCTATTAAGTTAAATATTAAGTTATTTGATGTGCAAATTTGAATATCATCTTGATAAATTAGCGAGAAGCGAGTTCCGATGCTCTAGATACAATATAGAATATATAAAATATATAGAATATATAGAAAATAACGACTGTTTCATATCTACGCAAATGAAAATCGTTATATGTCTGATATTTGAATCTAAACTCTACAAAATTGTATTACAATTTCAACTTCTACTTAAGTCTAAAGCTTATAATAAATTAAAAATCAAAAATATATTCTAAACTACGTCACAATTTAATTAGATTTTTTATATACTAATTTGATATACTAATATGTATATACTAAAAGTACATGATCACTCACCACTTTCCAGGTTCCTCATCTTCACTGTCACTGATTGTGATAACGGAAACGGCTGGCGAAGGCGTATCATCAATCGTGATAGTTTGCTGTCGCACGGATGTGACCGGCTGATGCTCCACATTATGACTACTACTGTTGTGTTTGCTATTGTGATGATGAGATTGAACCGGTTGCTCTTGCCAGTGGCTGCTCGTTGGTGAGTGTCGTCGCATGCTACTGGGCGGTGTACTCTCCTTAACCCGTTTCTTCACTGGACTCAGTTGTTGCGTCTCCTTTTTATGTTCATGTCTGTGCTGAGTCTGCTGAGGTACTGTCACGTGATGCTGATGGTGTTTGGTAACAGTGCGCTTGCCCCAACTCTGCGATGGATGCTCGACAAGTGCACTAGCATTATAAACTTCCGTGACAGGAAATACCGGCCGCTGATCCTTCCCCAAAACAAGGGAGATTAGTTACAAACTGAATATCAAGAGATTTTTCAACTTCTCTACAATGCGTGAATCATTAAAAAAAAAAATGCTTTGTAGAGACGCAGTCTCTATCACGCAACGATAAATAACATAAAATATTACAAAATTATAAATAAATACGCTACACATAAAGATTGAAAAATATCGATTCTTTTTTGCTAAATATTATATACGGAGAATTTATTGACAACTACTACCTGTAGAATAGCAGAACTATCGACAATAAGCGGCCTTCCCCAATCTCCGGCATCACTGAGCAGTGGTTGCTGAATGGCTGCATGCTGCGCTGGCAATTGCTGCCACGATGGTACAATCGCAGCCATCTGACGACTTCCACCAGGCCAAGATGTCTGTACAGCATTCTATGATGATCATAAACGTACATCAACACACCAGACCATTATACGGTCATTCGAAAATAAGCATTGTTTTACTTACGGTAAGCAACATTTGCCGTCCAGTCTCGACCATAGATACGGGAACCGCGGCATATTGTTGTTGGGCAGCTGCAGCTGCCGCAGCTACGGCTTGTTGCGATATAATGGATGATTGTATCTGCAGAGGCGCTTGTTGCGCTTGCGGTGGCTGAGAAATATAAATCCGTTATTAATGATCAATCGTTCTAATAATGAACTGATTGCTTTTATATACGATAATTAATGCTCTTCTTACTTGAGCGACAACTACGTGCTTCGCAGGACTTGGCATTGTCTGGTAACCAGGCGGTGGACACAATATACCAGGTACCAGTTGATGTGGAAAATCGTGTACGCCATTTCGTCCACTATTGGATCCACTAGACGAACCACTATATTGTGTCGCCCGTCGACTGCTGTTGCTATATATTTGATACTGAAATTGGAAAATATAAATATATATATATAACTAATAGTTTTTTATAAAATATATAATAAAAGTCTGTCGAACTCGCGGCTTGCGAGCTCCCTCTTCATTGTCTCGTTGAAATAGAACAAAGCGAAGAAGAATAGACACTCGAGTCCTTCTAAAAATAGTCTGTCCTTTGCTTTTTCTCTATCTCCCCGAGATAATGAAGAAAACATTTATCTCGCAAGCCAAGTGTTGGATAGGCTTAAAAGATAATAGAAAGATGTGTGAGATTCACTCATAATCGGTAAATCTTTGAATTACAATTATTCCATGTATATTTCAAACTATAAAGCCGAAAATTTTGATTAAAAATGAGATTGTTATAGTATGTGATTCAATTCAGGAACTGATACTTATATATATATAAAACTTAGAATAAAGAATTATTTGAACATACCAGATTGTCATATCCTGTTTGTGCAGTGCGTTGCTCTCTGACTAATCGCTGCACTTGATTAGACAGTTGATTGTTAAAAGTAAGAGTTACCGCACTGCCGTTCGTCGTCGGTACAAAATTGGCCACTAAAGACGTTGGTGGAGGTGGCTGAGGTGCTGGCGGGGCCTGATGATGTACAGGACTCGCAGTAAAGTCTCCCGCACGTCTGCAAATCTCCATCATCTGGACGGAAGCTTTCACGTTGTTACAATGTGCATAATCGATCAGATGTGCCAAAGTAACAAACGCGTGGTTCAGTGCCTCGCCGGGTGTTATACGGCGCTCCTTTAATCCAAATGACTATATGTGAAAAACTCCGCATCCGTAAAATTTCTTCTTCTTATAATTAAACATATAGATATCGCTACCTTGCCCATAGATATTACTACCTGGTCCATTGTAAGCATCCTCTTCAAGAGGTCAATGAACTCTCTCCTGTCCGCTTTCTCTGGCAAGAGTTGACCGCCATCTAAGTCAGTCGGTACATTAACTTGACCAATATCGTCAAGGCAATTAAAAATATATTTTCTTGCTTCCTTGGATTTGATACCAGTCTCTGCCTCATGTTCTTCCGGTGTCTTTAACCGCCAAAATGGATATGTACCTGTATAAAAAAATATGTATGTAGAATTTATGAGAGAAAAATGCTCATCAATTGTGTTATTCGATATCGGTCTTTTGTATAAAATTACGCACTCTCCATGTCCCGGTAAAAGAATTTTGTTGTTTTGCTAGCGTTGTTCAGCATATGCTCTGTTGGTAGGCCCTGCGTTTGACTTATGTATCGAATTTGATCGTACTCAGAACTGCCCGGATATAAAGGCCATCCTAGAAATAACTCAGCGACCACACAGCCGAGCGACCACATATCTATCGCTTCACAATACGGAAGTCCTAGTATGATCTCGGGTGCGCGGTAATATCGTGATTGCAGATAGGTATTGCAGACGGCTTTGGACACATGCGAAGCTGATCCAAAATCGATGACCTTCACTCGATAAGGCTGACGCATAGGATCCACTAGCATAATGTTTTCTGGTTTCAAATCGGCGTGTATTAATCCTAATTGCTGTGCAAAATAAAAGAGATTTATATATTAATTCTTGTTCCAAACGTTAAGAATAATAAAAGCAAGCGCATGACTGTGATACCGCACCTTTAATTTCAATAGTGCGGTCAATACTTGCTGGAGAATGGGCCTGATGAATTTGAGAGGTAGGGGAGAAAATTTATTCTGCTTCAAGAAATCGTAGAGATTTTGCTCCAGCATTTCAAATACCAAACAGGTATGTGATTTGTGCTGGAAACACTCGTAGGCGCGCACGAAATTGAATTCATCCGCATTTTCCTGACTAAGTCGAGACAGGATGGAGACCTGCCAACATGTATTTGAACATGATAAATCGCTTGTAATACGGAATGCGATCCAGCTCTGACGTTTACATCTCCACAGAGTCTAAATCTGTTTTTGCTGATATTTAAATACGTACCTCAATCTGACCTTGGCGCGCGTACGATGGATGATTCTTTAGAATTTTGATGGCTACTATTTCGTTCGTTCCTTTTTTCCAACATTTTACAACCTGCAAGAAACGAATTTATTATTTTTTTCGAAGGAGGAAAGGCGATTCCAGTTTGCAATAGGAGACTTGTATTCAATGCGATCGTACTTACTTGCCCAAAAGTACCTCTGCCGAGAAACTCGAGGACCTCATATTGGTGGGTCATGGAGTAGAGAACTTCGTGCTGCACCAAATGATAATCCCCGTCGCCCTGGGGATTGCTGCCACCGCCGCCTCCGTTGGCCGCGTTGGCCACTTGCTTGCTGTGCGCCGTCATGCTTGTCTGCTTGCTGTGCTGTTGCTGCTGCTGCTGCTGTTGTTGTTGCTGCAGCTGCTGTTGCTGTTGCTGGGTATGATGCTGCGACACTACAGTACCCACCGGATTCGTCGCATTGGCGGAGTGGACTGCCAGGCCGTCACCATTACCCTCCCTCGACCAAGTTTTTCTCTGTAGGAGGAATATACCTTATACAAAAATATTTAGACGTTAAGAAATCGCCGTCGATAGTAGAATGCGGAAGAGCGGCATCAAGAGTTGGGCGATCGGGTGGACAGTAAAACGAGATGATCAACAGTTACAATTGGTGTGCAATATGTCTCTTTCGGATACATACATAAGCCCTCGACGACCACTCGCACAACTCGCACACTCCCGATAAACGCAAAAATGCGAGCGTACCATTTGTGTGTGTGTGCGCGGACGATCCCAGAACTTCAAGATTTTTCCACGTCGGCATCGACGCGCGAGGGAGAGCTTCGATCGCCACCGATTGCGTGATTCGCATTCGCGCGCCGTTGGAGATCAATTAACGGACGCGTGCCTGTAGAGCGAACGTTATGTATCGCGTACATCCCGCGTGTTTCGTGCATGTATGTAATAACAGCGCCGTGAATCAAAACGCCCGCTTGTCGATTGCGAAAGGATCGCGAGAAAATGATCGTTCGCTCGCTCGTTCGCTCTCTCTTCCTCCCTTTCCCCCCTCCCCCCCTCTCTCTCCCTCTCTCGATCATTCGCCTCGTCCCTCGCGCATTTCGCTTCAATTCGACTGCCACGCGGGGGGGGGGGGATCGCGCGGTCGAAATCGCGATTCCCGCGAACCCGACAGAATTTCGCGGACGTCACACGCGGACGATACGCGCGCGCGTGTCCCAGCGTCCGCGATATCCGCGCGATATGAAATATGTAATGGGAGCCTTGAAAGCTCCCGAATCGATAGTTAACTACGCCATACGGAAACGTTATCTACCGCCGCCGCCGACTACGCGCGGCTCGTGACACCCCGCCGCCGGTTCGCAACGGACGGAGACAAACCGAAACACCGCGATCGGCCGCGGCTCTGTAATTATCGCCATCGCCGAAGTGCGCGAGTTCGAATGCACGTGCACGACGCTCGGCGTATGATCGTTAATAAGACCGGCCCGGCGAACGTTTCGGGCCGACGGAGGAGGCGGAGGAGCGACCGAGCGAGGAAGGAGGCAGGAGGTCTTTAAGGCTTCGAGGAATCGGATTATCCGCGCGGAGGCCTCCCCCTCGCGCCCCCCCCCTCCCCCATCGACGATACCGATACACCCGTTTCCGGGTGGCAACAAACTCTCTCGCAACGTCAGGGCGCGGATAACGTACTACCTCGTCTATCCCGCACGGAGCTAGATTCGGAGCTAGAGATAGAGTATCCGACGATACACGCCCTTTTTTTTTTTTCATTTCCTTTAATAAATAAAAGGATAATCGCGAAAGTTAACGAGCGCCACGATTCGCTCGCGAGGATTCTCGGCGAGGATCGATCGGCGGGTCGTGACGCGAGAGGGTGACGTAAATATATGTAGATACACAAAGCGCCGCGAATATCGACGCTCGTTTGTAGTGGTATTCATAAAGTTCCCGGTAATAGATGTCATTTTCCCACGACGTTGCGTCGTACGGACGCGAATCGGAGAATTAACGAGCGTCAAGGAAATTGAGATACCTTCCTCGTCATTAGAAGCTCGTTAACTCTCAGACGTATGCGCGGACGTTTTTCGCCGCGAATGCCTAGATCAAATACGCCGACGAGAGAAATTGCTCATTCGGGTCGATCGAGGAGGATGGCCGGCGATGGAGCCACCATTCGTTCGATCGTTTCGCCGAACGATGCACGGCGAGTCGGCGTGCCAAATGGATTCGATCGCTGGCTGGCTACGGCGTGCCGTTTCGCAGGGCAGACACGGTTAGATGAGACGGATGTGCGTCGACGATTTAAAAGCTCGGTAATCGGAAGCTCGATGCGAGTGTCCCCGGGGCGTTCGCAACGGGGACAGCGAGAGTCGCGCGATGTAACAACGCGATGTAACGCGGCGACATCACAAGACATTACATTTTTTACGTCGCAAAACGAGAATGTTAGGAGACACTCGTATCGCGATGAATCGGCGAGTCATGGCATGGGAATCGACATCGAGTCACGGAACAGGAAAACTTTGGAGGACAGACTTAGGAGGACGCGCCGAGCACCGCGAGAGGATGGACCGAGGAGGATCGTGTCGGGCGAGACGTTAGGCGCAGAACGCGGTTCTCAGTCAAGTTAAGTTTAGACGAGCTCGCGCACCAGAAACGTAGAGGCTCGCGTCGAGTCTGCGAAGGGTCGCGGGGAAATCGGGAGAATTAAGCCCCAGGAGAATTAAGCCCCAGGTCGCTGAATGATCGCGGGACGATCTTACTGACCATCGGGGAAATAGTCGAGGGATCGGAGTGTGGAGTACGCTCGCGATAGGCGAGCGGCCGCGACCGAGAAACGGACGGTATCTTCTCTAGAATCCGCGGATCGAGCCTTTCCCTTTCGCCGGGCCCCTACGGCGTAGGGGCATCGGTTGCGAAGCGAGAGGTATCACGGCTTTGCCGAACGCGGTCTCGACTCCGACGATCTAACTCTCGCCGTATATGCCAATAAGCCGGTTAGCGGTCATTAAATTTTATTCACCGGGACCGCCGGGCTAAAGACCGGCGACGTCCGTACGTACACGTGGAGGAAAGTTTCCACCACCCGCCTGCTCCCCCGTTAAGGAGTATATACTGTATAACTACGGAGCGCTACCAGTGGCAGTTATTCCCGGCCTCGTAATTACACGCGTATGCGCGTGCATAACAGTCGACTCGAGAGAGTACGAGAGGCAATGGCGAAACGACAACAAGCTACCGCGAAACTTGAAACTGGCAAACAAATGACATTGTTTGCCCATCGTGCAGATTACGTGCGGCACTGAAAGAACGAAACATATACAAAGGCCGCGTATTTAGCGAGAAATATGGACAAATATTAATAATGAATGTCATGTGTGGTTGAGAAAGAGGAGCTGAGGAAAAGGATCAATAACGTTAATGTCTCATTAAAAACTCGGAGTTTAGAAGAAACACACAACGCGACACACACAACTTTAAACTTGACATGCGAATATTTGTTTTCTATCTAATTCTTTAATCTCAGTGATCCTCAACTCCCGATTACAACGGGATACACACAAAATGAAGATGGGCACATTGAAGAAGGTCGGGAACGTGTGCGTTTACACGATTATGAGAATTTGTTGTAAACATTAAACATTTGTCAAATTTGTATTAGCATTGTAGTTATCTAGCTTTGGCTCGAATAGAGCCTTCGTTCGCATTCCCGATACAGAAAAATCTTTTCGAACGGTGAACGGACACAAGACGGACGTGGAACCCACGACAGGGTAAGATTTAGCGCGCCGAGCGCGTAGGCACGAGGGAAGACACGCGGCTTGTCTCTGTCGAAGAACAATTAGAAGCACGGCGACAAAAGCGACGATCAGCCTAGAGGAAGCGGCAACCAACCAACCTTCTGGCCACAGCGCTGGTACGTGTCTAAGAGCTTGATCGTCGAGGCTCGTACCAGGGTCTGCTGGTTCGGACTACTCTTCTGCAGCGCATTATTGTTGTGCAGCGAGCTAAACGCGGTATTAGCACCGTTCACGGAGTACCGCTGTTGCAGACCGGTATTGTCCAATTGATAATCGCTGGTCGATTGGACCAATGCGTGCTGGATCACCGGCTGGCTCACGTTGTAGTCCAACTTGCGCTTCTTGCTGGGGTGAACGGTGTTGTTACTGCTGTTGCTGCTGCCGCTGCTGCTGCTGCCGTTGACGCTACTCGTCTGCTGTGTTTGGATGAACATGTCACACATTCCCTGCAATCAGAAAGTAACGACCTCGTTAACCACCGAAACGACGCGACGGTCCATTAATTCTTTTACGACGTAATTTTTGTTTTCCGTCGCTACATTCGCATATTACTTACTCTCATCGGTCAGGTCAAAGAAATTTAATTGTTGAAAAACTAGCTTAAAAGCTCATCTCCTCTCTCGTATCGCAAGAAAATGAAAACGTTACGTTAAATATATTCGACGCTATTTTTGCGAACGTTTGAAAGACATCTCGACACAAAAGTGGGAGTCGCCATGGCGGAAAGAAATATCGTGGAGAATACAAAAAGTAAGGCCAACGACCATGAATATTTTAGTGCCTCCTTCGCCGAGACGTGTGTCCACGTTGTCGGTTTGGGTCAGTGATTCTCAAAGACCTGTCGTCACAGATATCATATTTCTACGCGCAAAGGGCCATCGGAGTGGTCGGCGCCATCCGTTTTTTTTTTTTTTTTCAATAAATAAGACTGTTCGTTTGCGAAGAGTAAATACTTTCTACAAGATTTACCTACAAGGTTAGATCGTTTCGAGAATGAGCTTTTATCTTCTTCTGTCTCTGTCGTCACCGTCATAGTTGAGAATTCATACGGTAACTGAGAATTCACCTCGCTCGTTCATAAGCTACGACGTTCTATCGTGCGGTTATATTAACGTTTCGAAACAACCTGTCGGTTTCGGGATTCTATTTCAAGAACCTCGTAGCTCTTGAGCCTATCATAGAAAATCGTAAATCTTAATGCAAGGATGCGCGCCGCTTCAACGTCCCACATTGAAAATTATTGCTTCGTATCGCGAAAGGAGGGGTCCGTGCCATGCGGGATGGCCTACTAAAGTAGCGCTCCACCCCAAAAGCGTTATCGCTTTCCAGCGCCCAATTTTTCGGACATTAATCAGCTTGACGTCAAATCAAAAGTGGAATTCAAATTAAATGGCTCGATATCGTAAGATTCCCTAATCGCCGCGCGCGGCGCGCGATACCATTTTCCCGGCTTGCTATCAACACACCGTAATTCCATCTGATTGCGCACAGATACGCAGTATTGCACAATCCGTTTGTGACTCAGAGCCCGAGTTGCCGCCCGAATAATACCGGGCGTAACGAAAACATCCGATCGATCGCAATCCCTGCAATGTCTCGGGAACACGGCGCGATTTCAATTCTACCCTCGCTGGTCCTTCCCCCTTCCCGCTCTCCTACCCTCCCTCCCTCCCATCCTCTCCTTTTCCCTTCGCGTATCGCATCAGCACGCATCTCGTTCTCTCTTTCTCTCCTCTCCCCCCCTTCCCCCTCTCTATCGTTCTCGCCGTCATTTACCGCGATGTGCTCTAATTATAGTGCTGACTGTCAGAAATGCTGGTCGGCATTATGAACGATCTACGGTACCACGAGGTACAGTTATGTTTAAGTTAACCGGCTCGACACCCATCGGATCTTAACAAACTGGCGCGAACAAGTAGCACGGTCCGCGGCTGGCGAACCGTAAAGAAAGCTGTCGCATCTCGGCGCAGAAAGGGCGAAATCCTCTTTAGGAGGTTCCTCAATCAAATGCTGAAGAATGTCAAAGCATTAAGCATGTCATAGCGTTAGTCAATAATAATAAATGGCACTCGTTTATAAGACATTTTTGTTTATAATTATTTAATAATCCTTGGTTTATGAGTGAGTTTTAGCGGAATCAACTCTCTCGCGAGTATACAGCATAACAAACTTTTGCATAAAAAATAAAAAGTAATATCTATAACGTGTATGTAAAGATATATTACCTTGTACCTCTCTCTACTCAATACGTCGTACAAGGCTCGTAATAAGGCAGACGTGCGGGCAAACGGGCGCGGGGGGAACGCACGAGCGCAAATGGAAATCGTGGTAATCCGTTTCAGCGAAATAATAAGCAGCGGGTAACTTCGCGGAACTCGTCGGGGATGTGTTCGCGGTAATTCATCAGGTCGCGTCACGGTGACTCAGCCGCGGGTAAAAGTAACGAAACTTTGCGTCACCCTGTAGCGGCCCCCGCGCTCTCGTAATCCCGTGTATGCGTGGTGTGTGTGTGTGTGTGTGTGTGTGTGTGTGTGTGTATGTGTGCGCCGCGTGTGCGAGCGAGATACGTAGGTATGCATCGCGCGCGCTTATATTCCGCGCGATGAGTCAAGCCGATCGATTGATGAACGGGGAAATCCGAGCTTGTGCTCGCCGAACAGCGAAAACTTTCGTGGCAAAATTGCGCGAGGTAGCCAAGCAACAGCGAAATTCGAGTGACCGTCCTGACGTACTCACGATCGTGTATACAAGATGACGCAAAAGCACGCAACGCCAGAGCGACGTTGCATCGATTACCTCTATAAACGATTTTTTAGAAGAGAATTTTTTTTTTATATTTCTCTCTTTCTGTCCAAGCCTCTTTAAAATTATCTGAAAACAGAGGCGGCTCTGTGTGTGTGTGTGTGTGTGTGTGTGTGTGCGCGCGCGCGCGCAAAAATGTTTTTAATTTTTTATAATAAGTTTGACTCACTCGAGAATTGATTCATTCTTCATATCTTCGAGGCAATATTTATCCTCGTTTGTAAAGGCTCTCGCACCTGTTTTCTGTAGAATTTTTAAAACATTTCGTGATATGTTTCGCTGTTTGCATTTTATAGCGAGTCACACGTGCACACAAGCGGGACACAAATAATGCGTTAATCGCTCTCGCTCGGCATGGCGACAGATTTACAATGTACGCGGTGATATTTTTCGAAAATCGCTACGGGAGCGAAATTTAGCAATAACCAAATGCGCCGTCCGAGGCTCGCTTTGCTCGTAGTTTCGAATTCCCGGCAGTGCACTCCGATGAATATCGCAAGAAGAGAGAGACGCTGGAGAGAAAACTGAAACAGCACCTAGACTTATCTTTAGAAAACATCCGCGGTGTCGTTAGGAAAAACCGCCGCCTACGAAGTATGATAAAAAGGTTATCCATTTTTAAGAGTGTCACTTTTCTAGGCTGCTGCCACGCGAATGCGTGGGAAGAGCTTAACATAGGATGCCACCGCAAAATCAGCAACGCAAAATCACACACGCCTCATACGGCATTCGCCGGGCAGCGTGCGCGTAATAACGTGCATCGGCGCATATGTGTACGTATGGCTCTTATATTTGCGTATTTCCGAGAAACTGAATTCCTTCGCGACATTCGCGAAAACGAAAATGGAATACGAAAAAAAGAGCTTTACATCATACCTTCCGCTCTCATTCGTGAAACAAAAAAATCACTCTCTCTCTCTCTCTTTCTCTCTCCTCGGTCGCATCAAGATCCCGGCCCGCGCGTCCTGTATAACAAATAACGATCGTATTTACATCTTGGAGAGACGGAATCATGTTATCTCACGTGACCGCAGAAGCGAAGCGTAGAGATTCAGCGATCCATGCACCGGTGACCGGTCATTCACTGATGCGTCCACCCCGCGTACATTGATAGCATGGTAATCGATATATACCGCGACACATCTGCGAGGAATCGCTTTTAAAAGTGGCAGAGCTTGTGTATCGATGCGACGGGAGCGTATTGTCGCGCGGCGGAAATATCAATACTCGCGCGAGAGTATCATCGGTATCGCGACGCGACGCACGACGCGACGCGACGCGACGCGACGCGACGCACCACGACGCGTCGCTCGAAGAGCGACTAATCAGACACGTGACGCGGCGCGGCGCGGTGCGGCGCGGCTCTCCCTTGTAATCGCGAAATTATATTAATACCTTCCTCGCGCTGAAGCGAGGCTTAAGCGTCGGCCGTCGTAAATTAGCGTCTAGTATCGCGTTCATAAACGTCCGACGTTAACGCACGCAAACGCGTATTTATAATCGGCAATTCTCCGCGCGCGGCAAAAGCTCGCCGACAAATTGGACGGTTCGTGCTGTTAGACTTCATTTGCGCGACGCACTCGCGAAACGGCATCGGCTAACAATCCGGGAGGACGGAGTATAATCCTTTCGCGAACAACGCGTCGTAAATAATCGCGCTTACTAAACGCAAACGCGACCGCGTAACGTAATCCGCATTCTGTTGGATCTTCTGATAAAGATCGCGCGTATAGCAGACGCGGTCGAAAAGCGCGTTTCCCAAAAACGTCTCAAGTCCATACTTCCAAGAAATGAAAATTGTGCGCGCTATCTACGGAAAGCTATGGACTCTGCAACGTATAAAATTCATGTTAAAAAAAAAAAGGGGAAGGGGAAAAAGATACGGACTAAAACGGCTTAGAGATAAGACTTTAATTATATCTTTAAGGAAACTTTGCGCGCTCGGCTCTTTCCTCGTGTATATGCATCATACAGGTTTTTAGCTCCTTAATTATTAAACGCTAATGTTCGACTAGAGAACGCAGAAACAGGTTGCGGTAATTCGAATGTTCTATTTTCGGAAAGCGACCGCGTTCATTAAAGCTTAATCAAAGTCGTCTCGCGTGAACGAACAGATATCGTTATATCGCGGCGCGCGCGCGCGCGCGCGCGCGCCGAGGCGAGGCGGCGACTTTTGTATTTCGCGTCGATTAAAGGTTCATATTCATCGATACGTCGTCTCCGCGAGGTCTAATTATAATTTTTACGTAAACCCACCCTTGCGCAAATAAACGTGCGGCCGCGTGGAATAAATCATCGGCTCGTTATTATTACGCAAGATGCGCGTCGAGGCACAGCTTTTCGTGAAACACACTGGCTCGATGGCGATTAAGCAATTGTTATACGGATTAACACACAATAATGGAGGCTATATCCTTATGACGTCAATCCTGTCGAAAAAAATATATTCATTTTCTGTCTGAGCGACGAGTGAGAGGTCACAAATATCTCGAAAATAATTTCTTTTTTTTTTCCCCAAAAAAAATCGCGCTCGCTTCCAAATCACTTTCGAGTGTTCCAAATGTTAAAACGTTTGCAGATTCCAGAGAATTATAATAGGTTTAATTTATATAAAAATGTGAAGTGTTCCTACTTCACACGTCTGAAATAAACGAATAATTTTTTTTTTACTTTCTGATTCAGAAGAGGAACTTCCAATAGAATCTTGCGATTTTAAATAGGATCTGTAAGTTAAATAGTAGTAAAAAAGATTTGACTGTTCAAAGTATCACGGTAAGCATAAAAATATTCTAATTGAGATCGAAAGCAGAAGAAAAATTTCAATTTGAATTCGCTTCGCCGCTACTTCCGGTTTCCCTCTCATATTCGCCGTGCGCTTACCGATCGAACAGCAACGTCATATGATTTTGTAATGGGATCCCGCCCGCGACCCGAACGATATTTATATATCGATCAAACCTCCTTCGAACGATGGAAGGACAGGCCGCCTACTCACACAGCACGAGAGGACACTTTCGTCGACGGATATTTGCCACGGCGGATTTCGAGCACGGACTATTGCGGATGGGTGGCTAAGAAAACCCTTCGCCCCGGTAATAATGGCTTGCGCGGATCTGGGCACGAGTTAACGTAGAATATTGCAGGAGGGGAAACATTACGACGGGACGCGTCATTACGGTCAAAAAAGGATATCCTTTCTTCCGATGGATCTTTCTACGATCACGTCAAAGATACAAGGATCCAATTTATCACTATTACATTCCGAAATTATTTGTCTCGGACAAAAAAATTCTACGTCTTTCCTCGCAAATCGAAATTTAGAGTAAGTAAATAAAATATTGAAATTTGCGCTTTCGCACAAAAAAGGAAAGAAAAACCGACGGTACACAAGAATATTTTAAATCTATAAAAATCTATGAAATCTCTGAAAGTTGTTGGTAACGAGAATATGTAAAATGATTTTTACCAGACTTTACCGACGTGCGACGATTAATGTTATTGGATCGAAGATAATTAAATTAAATGCCTAAACAGGAAATCTAGCATCGATGTTTTTCACGAGAATATACATTTTTTAACGCGCGTTGAAGCGATGAGTTTCGGCGCAATTAACACTTGGACAATCGCCAGCGGATAGACTTATGCAGCTAAAATTCGTGATAAAATGCACTCCCCCTCGGCGATGTGACGTGTCACCGCTTAGCAGCCGGTGCAACGTTACTCCGACACGAGTGCGTGCTCGCGTGCATGTGCGTGTAAGTTCGACGGACTCACACGCGTGCACGCGTGAAGGAGAACAGCCTGCACAAAAATGCTCTAACGGACAACGTGTGTCCTGAAATGCCTGTACATGTACAGTGTAGCGTGTGTATAGTAAGGTTCGTTCGAAAAAGGTCAAAAGAAAGAAAGCAAGAAGAAGAGGAGAGATGGAGAGAGAGAGAGAG